AGTCAGAATCATCCCAACCCCTCTGTTACATTCTTTCTGCAGTGCCCCCCCCCCCCAGAAATTGAGAGCCAGCTACGGGCTATAAAGCAAATGGAAATTCTATGTGCATTTATTAGACCTACTGTACCAGGAACACCTGTGAAAAATGCAACTACACTGTATAGGTCCCTGACAGGAATCGAACCTGTCATCTTGGTCATCTTGCAATTCCAGTGCAGCACTCTAACCAAATGACAAAGTCCGGGCAGTTGTTGAGCTCTAACTGCAAGTGAGATGCCAACAAAATTTTGATGTAAAATAATTGTGTGTGATTGACCGATAATCGGTACGGACATTGGGTTGAATTTTGCCTTATCGGTAGATAATCTGAATTGGTAAAATTATCTATATTTCTGATTGTCTAAAATTGATTGTTGAGAAAATTCACTCTTTAAAAATTATATGCATTGCACGTTGATGCACGTTGTCATTGCGTTTTAATGGAATATGTTAAATTAATGTGTGAAGCGTGCCATTTATTTACACGAGAAGATAAAAGTCATATCTTCAAGCCACAGTGTAATGTTATGTTTATTTATTATTAGCATGACAAAATTACTGGATGCTGATTGGTTGAGAGGAGTACAATTATTTCATTAATTGTACTGCAGTACAATTAATGATTTTCCCAAAACAAACAAAATGGTGGAAACGTATTTTATTAAACACAAATGTGAAATGAAATTGCCCTAGAGGAACTAGATGAAAATACAACCAAAAGCACCAAATTTTGCTTTAACAAAAGAACTAAATTAAAATACAAACAAAAGCACCAAATTTTGGTTGAAAGTATGGCACAACTGGGCTTTGGTGAGAGAATATGATGTTGACATTGATAAGTATCCAATTTTGTCATGCTAATAATAAACAAGTAATCATGCATTGTTGCATGGACAATTAGGGATTAATAGTACTTGCGCTGTTTGGAAATTTGCCAAATTGGACTCGCCCCAGTGGCCCGTCCAATTTTGGCAAAATTTCCAAACATCACTTGTACTATTAATCCCTAATTGTACGTGCCGTCGCATGATTATCTATACTAATTATATAGTCCCAAGCAAAAAATTGTGAAATTTCATGCTCAAAAGCAAATTGGAAAAAGTCACATGATCGATGTCCTCTGAAGATATGGAAAATATCTCACTATGTATTTTTCAGTATCTCAATCGCTACTATATAAATACTGGTATATATATTTATAAACAAAATTTCACCATATATAATATAATCTAAATTTCACCATCACTGTCCAATTATATGCAAATATATAATCAATCAATGAAAGGTCACGACAATACCAGCCATCATTTCGTGATCGATTTCAAATATCAATCGATTAGGTACGCTGGGTAATATTTAATAATACAATGGATGTTTTATACTTTGATGTTTAGTTGTTTATACATGTGATTAACATTCTCAATTTTATATTACTTCAGTTATGTTAGAAATGTAAACAGTTTCTTGATTCTCACTATAAGTCCTTACATAAATATATTATAAACATGTATGATGTATCAATAATCGATTGTCAATTTAATTAATTTGACAAAGTATAATTTCAGTGATTTTGCTGTAGTGAACTGAAGTTCGTGAAATCTGTATCAAGAAAGTACTTCATAAATATGTCATAAATATCTATTACCTTGGATTGAATTCTTGAAACAAGGTTCTCAAATTCATATTTTTACAAAGCTGGCAGCATGATTCTTCACATTATTTGTTGTCGTTCACTCGTTCTCGATAAAATTATGATAATTTATGCGCTGAGTATAAATATGCATTCAATAATTAAGTTTCTAATTATTTGTTTCTGCTTCAATGGATGATTGATGATTCCAGCTACAGGCTAAATTTTGATCCAGACAAGAAGGACGAAATCTATCATTATATAGCTTAAAAGTAAAGTTGCGAAATTTGGTTGCAAAATGTTGTGAATTAAATACGGAAAATAAGCCCTGTGAAATTAGCAAATTTTGAGTATTTCAGTACAGTACGCGCGGAAAATCCATATAATGATAGATTTCGTCTTTCTTGTCTAGATAAAAAATAGTTGATAGCTGGAGTCATCCATTGATTAGATCCGTTGACTACAGTTGCCGGACTACCCTGGGTGCCAGAGGTTCTTCCACGCTCGTAGGGGGGATAATCGTGTATCCCTCATTATCCCTCCCTACGAGCGTGGAAGAACCTCTGGCACCCAGGGTATTGCCGGACTAGAATATTGTCCTACAGCGGGTACATGGGGAATTCCACTATAAAGTGTGCTCATCTTTAATCCCTTATCGAGAATTTTTATCATCTCGCTCGACAACCTCGTCACTCGATAGAACTAACAGTTGAAGGGGGTTTTGCAGATGGAAATTTCGAGCGGAAGATTTAAATATATACAATTTCAGACCTACTCGGACCTGCGGCCTCTTTTCACATATGAGAATACGGAAGCATCCGTCTCGTGACGTCATGAAGTAAATTCACCTGGATTGAGCGCCAACGCTGTTCTATGTACATCAGTGGGTTCTATCGACGAATATAAATCGTCTATTAAGCGCGAAGACATATGATATTTTTGAGTAAATACCAAGATTTGTGATTCCGAATAATAACTAACTGAACTAAACTAACGGACTAACCGAACTAACAAGCTCACGCATCGAATATAAAGCGATACCTAACGTTGCATAGTCTTAGTGCCAGTCATGGAAATGGTGCCAGTATTCAGTAAAGCTTTAGAAAGTTGCGGATTGATACAACTACCCATACTTGTGTATTTCAGGTAGTTGCAGGGGCGTAGCCAAGGGGGGGCAAGGGGGGGCGTTCGCCCCCCCCCCAATCGCAAAAAAACCATTCTCTGAAAAAGGCTAAATCCGTAGAGAAATGGGGGGGGGGGTACACGTTACATCCTCGAAGCTGAAACGGATTAAGTACGTCTCGACTGAGGAAAACGACGAAATACTGGAAGAACTTGATTTCTAAAATCTCGTTAAAACAGTTGTAGATATGGTTCCAAGAGGAATAGATTTAGTTTAGATTTACATGTATATGCATTATGATAACATGAATATTCTTCTCAGACTTATTCTGTATCATATATAAAAGCGATCGAGTAGAAACTTAGAAATGTCTGGGAAAATTTATGTCTTCGACGTACTTTATAATCTTCGGGATTCTGCAAGATTTCACACCCAAAATGCTTGAAATCACATTTCAGGGACTCTAAATTTTAAAATTTTCCCTGGGGTGCATGCCCCCGAACCCCCCTAGAGCGTACTTTTTCTTCAAGAGTCTCAAGAAGTCTGTTTTAGGTTTTTCCAAATAAAGTTTACAGTTATTACTTCTTAACGGATACATATCAGTTAGGCAAATTTTAAAGATGTTGGTCATACATTCTGGCAGTTGGCCTTGTAAGGCCTTAAATGTCATCATCATTTCTCTTTTCTTAAGAGTGGTTTCAATTGGTTCCCAGTGATAAGGGAATTTCGATCTTACTGCGTAAGTTGACCCTGTGATAATTCGAGCCGCTCGTTTTTGCATTTTTAAAAGCTTGTCTGTATGTGTACGACTGCCGTCATTCCACACGTTGGAGCAATAGGTAAAGTGATGTAAGACTGGCGAGTTGTACATGTTAATTAATACGTTTTGGTTAACAAATCGTTTGGCTCGTCTTAGTTAGGCAATGCTCTTGGATAGTTTTTTGCATAGTGAAGATCATTGTTTATGCCATCTCAGTTCATCGTCTAAAGTAATTCCCAGTACTTTCTTATTGGTCACCTGTTTGATGTTATGATTACCAATCAGCATAACATGGGTCATATGAAAATTGTTTCAATTTTCGTTTAGAGGCTATTAGCATAAATTCAGTTTTTTTAACGTTTAGAGTAAGCTTGTTTGCTATTAACCAGTACTAGTTATTGACATTATACAAATCGTTATTTAGTTTCACTTCTATGTCCGCAGGTGAATTACCATGCTTGATATATATGTGTCATCTGCAAACATAGACTAGTGCCTCTGTTTGTTCGAGGGAGTTAGGAAGATCGTTTATATACAATGAGAATAATAACGGTCCTAAGTTTGATCCCTGTGGGACTCCGCACCTTATCTTTTTCAGTTGGGATTTTGTACCTTGGACTGTACATAATTGACTCCTATTGGTTAAGTACGATTTGAAGAAGTTAAGGATTTTGTGGTCGACTGTATCGAATGCCTTTTTGAGATCAAGAAACAAGACACAATTTATTAAGCCTCTATCCATATTCATTAAATATTCATTGGTTGATTGCAAGAGGGCAGTTTCAGTAGAGTGATATTTACGGAAGCCAGATTGGCGTTTTGTGACAATTTCAAGACAAATTGCTTCTGCATTAACTGAAATTAAGTCAGCTCTATTAGTATAGGGAATAACATCTCTTAGGTAGATAGCCACTCCTCCTCCATTGCGGTTTCTATATATCCTTTCTTACCAAATCGTAACCTGGTATTTTAACCTCAGAGTTGTCTATGGAGTCGTCAAGTCGAGTTTCGTTGATACAAATTACATCAAAAGGGAGTTTAGCCAGAAAATTAAACCAATAATTCGTTTTTATATTATGCTTTACCAGACTTGCAATATTTAAATGCCTTATTTTGAATCCCTTGAGTTTTGGGTAAACCTTTTCATATTGGTCCGTGGTCGGAGTAATTGGGTCTAGAGGGTTCACATTTTCATTATCGTTAGTCTTAGTAACATCCCCGTCATCATGATCATCATGATCATCATTATCATTGTCGAGTCTACTTTGATCAGATGATGACGAGGATGCTACAGTATCTTCTATTTTGGAATAATAAGAAGTATCTAGTCAATTGATATTCTTTAAGTAATTCTTTATGTTTTTTTGCCAAGGAGGCGGAGCCCTTTGTGTTCAAATGCAGACCACATTGTCGTACCCAGAAGAAGAAGAAGAAGGGTCTTACGCGCGGTGCGACGAGGGGCTCTGGCCAAATCCATAACCGGATACCATAAAAACATGGTAAGAAAACAATATCTGGTGCTAGAACTAGCCAATCAGATGCCAGTTCGGATATGGATTTGGCCAGAGCCCCTCGTCGCACCACGCGTAAGAAGGGCTCTGGGTACGAGAATGATGCAGACCATAGCTATTTAACTGGTATTTATCGATGTTATTAGTGTCTATTAGACCCCAGTTTTGCTCGATACATAAATCATTTAATTTGTAGTTCATTACATTTTGTTACCTTCGTAGCCAGAGATGGGTCATCATTTCGGGTGATGATTGATGAAGGAATCAAATCGATTTTGTTTTGCTGCTTCCTGATTCCTTTACCGAGATTACAGATGGATTGCACCTGATCTGGTGAGTTGTTCTTGATGTCGTTGGTACACACATGTAGTATAACAACATTCAGCTTTGCCATTAATGCCGGTTTGACATAATGGGCCATATCAGCAGCTGTAGCACCAGGGAACTGGATATTGTGGCTTAGGCCATTCATGTGTTTGAACATCGAGTCTCCGGGAATAGCAACAGTTTGTTTCTGCTTGTCATATTTTGTTGGTCTATAGGGAGAATTTTGTGCTCGATTTGGGTTCTGCTCAAATAAATTACCTGATAATCACACCTAAGCACTAATTAGACCTATTGGTAGGTTGTTAAACCATTGCTAAATCATTGATGAAACATTACTGTTGTTGTGAAATTTAAATAAAGTCATTCTTGTTAATTTTGAAATTGGGTATTTTTATATTCAATGCCAATGGAGGCGAAGTCATTCTTTAAAGCACGAATGAATTACGGGGGACTTTCTTTTTGCGTGGTGTTTATTCGAGAATGACCAAATCTAGCTCTCAGCAGGTTGTATTATTAATATAACGATATCCTACGATATCGTATATCACTCTCTATCAGATAATACCTTTTCTTCCTTTTCCATTGAAGACGTAGCCTGTGCGCAGTCATGAGACTGGGCACAGGCTATTGAAGACGTGGTATTAATGAAACTAAATTGGCTTCCAGTACAGACTACAGTCTCGTACAAGATTGGTCCCTGTTGTGTGAATATTATGAACGTTTTATAATATTAAGAACTCATTAAGAACTCATTAAGAACTCATTAAGAACTCATTCACTGAGTTGCTAGTTGTTGATTATGCAGCGTATTATTAGTTAGATTATCTAGTATATTGTTATGTTAATAAAGTAAAAAACCCATAAAAATAGAACGTTATTTCAGACTTATGTATGATACTGTGTATGTAGTCGGTAAAGTACGTGTCAAAAACACAATTTAGTGAAACCGATATTTGAGTTTATAACATTGGTGACGAGGAATAAACAAAGTTAGTATGCCTCCTAAATCGAGAAAGGCGTTAAAAATCGAAGAATTCGAGCCAGACGAAGACATATTAGAAACCACATGCAACCATTTCCAATTGTGGAGACGAAGACTCGAGATTCAAATGAAATATTTCGACTTCGTAAAGCCAGACGATATGAAAGCAGCGTTGTTAGTTCATGGTGGCGACAAAATCCTTTCGATAGACGAGAACGGAGCTGAACCAGAAGGCGACTTGGACGAATACAAGAAGCTTATAGCGAAAATTGAGGGGAGTATCTAATTGGAGCGGGTAGCGGGTAAAAGGAGCGGGTCGCAGGTAAAAGGAGCGGGTAATTAAAAAAGGAGCGGGTAATTAAAAAAGGAGCGGGTAAAAGGAGCGTGTAATTAAAAAAAAGAGCGGGTAATTTCCCAGGTGCTAACGGCGGTGGGGAATTTTAAAGAAAAAAAAGACATTTTTTATGAAAATGTAACAACATGAGGACCATTTTTACTAAGTGAAACCATTGACTTCACATAAAAAATCTCGAAAATTCTATCAAATGTTAAATTGACAGATATTTAACAGCCTGAACATGTCTTATTATGACGTGCTGCAGCTGAAAATACGTACACACTAGCGCAACGTTTTTGGGTCACCAAATGGACAAAAAGTATTATAACATGTACAAGTGCTACTCAAAACTCTACAGTCTGTCTCGGCTATTGCCTCATCAAACTGTGGTTATGCATTACTAACTCTATGGAGCAAAGGAAACTATAAACCATTTTTTACTATAAATTTATCCGAATTTCAAGTTTTTAGCCATCCGGTTTTTTATATACGTACATGCCTTACGTGTACATGGCGGCCATCATGAGTGGCTTCAAAGATGGCGGCTAAGTTATCTTTCCAGTTCCCTTAAGCCCCGTTTACTCTATGCTCAATTCTTGGTACCGTAACATTTTTTTGGTTCTTAAAAGAACCACCGTACCAATATGGGCACCGATTTTATCCGTGCCGTACCAAAAATTGAGCGTAGTGTAAACGGGGCTTTAGAGTTCAATGGTTTAAACTGAACGTGAGCGCCTTATTAAAACACACTGTGTTTAGAAACTTTTGCTCTATTGTACGTGTAGTCTAAAAATGTGTATATATGCTACACCACTATCAGTTTCTGAATAAATTCAATGGTGTTCTGCAAACCTAAACCCTAACCGTGCAAACCGCGTTCAATATGTTCATAGTTTTCCACAGTTTGGTGAGGCAATAGCCGAGACAGACTGTAGAGTTTTGAGTAGCACTTGTGCATGTTATAATAATTTTTGTCCATTTGGTGACCCAAAAACGTTGCGCTGGTGTGTACGTATTTTCAGCACGTCATAATAAGACATGTTCAGGCTGTTAAATATCTGTCAATTTAACATTTGATAGAATTTTCGAGATTTTTTATGTGAAGTCAATGGTTTCACTTAGTAAAAATGGTCCTCATGTTGTTACACTTTCATAAAAAAATGTATTTTTTTTTCTTTAAAATTCCCCACCGGCGCTTAGCACCTGGGAAATTACTCAAATTACCCGCTCTTTTTTTTAATTACCCGCTCCTTTTACCCGCTCCTTTTTTAATTACCCGCTCCTTTTACCCGCGACCCGCTACCCGCTCCAATTAGATACTCCCAAAATTGAGCATGTATATGTGGCGAAAAACACGAGATTGCACGCGAGGTTTAGATTTAACAAAGCCGTTCGACAATCGAATCAATCTATTGCTCAATACGAACTCGAACTTCGACGACTCGCTAAAGAGTGTGACTTTCACGGATACGACGAAGGAATGATTTTAGACCGTTTGATATTAACGTGCAAAGACGAAAGCCTTCAAGCGAAAGCGTTAGAAAACAACTGGACACTCGAAGACTTCTTAAAGTATGCGACTACAAAGCAAGACTTCGAAGCACAAAGAAACGAAATGAAAATGGAAATTAAGAAAGAATCACTCGAAGTACGAAGAGTAGCTGATAAAAGATTCTCGAGAGGAAAATCGCAAAAGCTGTACTCGTTTAGAAATCGCGAAAACCCGAGAAAACCCGTCAGCGACGTGAAAGATAACAAAACCTGCACGAAGTGTGGTCGTGACAAATCACATTCTACATGCCCAGCTGCCGAAAAAGAATGTTTCAATTGCCAGAAGATTGGTCATTTCCGTGCACAGTGTTTCTCAAAGAAAACCCGACAGCAGATCGAAGCAAGTAAAAGCTGCTGGCTTGCATGGTGGTTCTGTGATGAATGATTTCCAACAAGATTCTGTCGACTCGTCTGATTCCGATCCTGAGTTTTACAAATGTGTGAGCGAGAAATTGGGTATACGGGCAGTAAAAGGACAAAATACTAGCAACAGTTTGTTACCTGTTTACATCTGTGGAACCAAGGTTATCGTTGATCCAGATGCCGGCGCTGATGTCGACCTAATCTCAGTTAAAGATTTCAAGAAAATTCATGAAGCAAATCCTGAGATCAAGAAACAAATAAAGAAACCAAAACAGAAGATCTACGCCCTGAATGGTAAAGAGCTGGAAGTTATAGCTACAATTAAAGATGCAAAGTTGTCAAACAAGAACGCAGAAATACTCACTGATCTCTACGTTATTGAGGACGGTATTCATAAATTCCCATTATTATCAGAAAGAACACTGATGAATCTTGGTATGATTAAATACAGCGCTGAGGGAGAGTTTGTGAAGAAAGTTGACACGAGACAAAGCAATGACAAAGAAAGAAAGTGTAAACCTGAAGATAAAGTACCACAAGAAGAGCTCAGGAAGATCTTGCAGAAACATAAGAAGATTTCCAAGGCATAGGAACATTAAGAATAAAGTACCACAAGAAGAGCTCAGAAAGATCTTGCAGAAACATAAGATGTTCCAAGGTATAGGGACATTAAAGAATCCTGAAACAGGAGAGCCAATCCTCACTCATATCGAGATGAATGCCGATGCAAAACCAGTCATACAACCTCCAAGACCTGTCCCACACCATCTCGTAGAAAGAACCAAGAAGAAATTGGATTACTTTGTTCAAGAAGGGATAATGACTTGGACTAAACCAGGAGAACCGATTTCATATGCCAGTCCACTTGTCATCACACCAAAAGGAGATGATGATGTTCGCATCACTGCAGACTTCCGAGTGGCAAACAAAGGAGCATCGAGAACCCGCATCGTACCTGGTCTACGAGTAGACGAATTGTCGGCAACGTTTGGAGACTGCAAAGTGTTTTCCCATCTTGATATGAACAATGGCTACCACCAAATGAAAGTTGACGAGGATTCCAAGAAATATCTAGTAGTGACCACACCCTGGGGAAATTTGAAGCATGAAACGCTTGCACAGGGATGGATAACCAGCCAAGATGAATTCGACAGACGAATAAATGAGATTCTAGCGGGAATTCCTCACGTAAAAAGTAATCGAGACGACTGTCTAATTGGTGTGAAAGATCGAAACGAGCACAACAGAACACTCGACCTAGTCCTAACACGTCTGCAAGAACATGGATTAACATTAAGATTGGAGAAATGTGAATTTGGAAAGGAGGAGTTGAGTTCTATGGTGTCAGATTTACGGGAGAAGGAATCAAACCATCGAAGGCGAAAGTGAAAGCGTTGCAAGAATGTGTAGAGCCCAGTTCAAAAGAAGGAGTAAGAAGCTTTCTGCAGATGGTGGGATATATGTCTCGATTTATCACCAGCTTTGCCCAGATTGCCGCACCGCTGCGACAGTTAACGAAGTCAACCTCAACCTTCCATTGGGGACCTATAGAACAGGAAGCTTTCGATAGCCTGAAGAGCAGTTTGACGGAGCAAACAACCCTATAATGTGTGAGGAACCCGTTGTGGCTAATGCAAAACCCATATCACGAATTGCTACACAAATGTGCCTAGGAGTAAAACTAGATGAAACCCTTAATTGGGATAGTCACATTGAAATGATATGCAAGAAGGCGAGCGCTGCTATTGGCG